CATAAATAGATTGTATAGTTGGGAAGCAATTAAAATGCTTTTTTTTTCGTTTATGTTTTTTTTTTAAGATTCTACTTTCTGCTTTTTCAAATGTCGACAACATTATCAATAACTCTCTATGTTGTTCTATTAAAAAAAAATGAAGAGAAGAGAAATAGACTGTGTATGAGTGTTGTTACAGTTTTAAAGAGAGGAGAGAAAGAAAAAAAAAACAGTCTGATGGAACGAGTCGGGCCATAAAAAGATAGAGGAAAAAAAAAGTTGAAAACACCACAACAATAATAACAGCATCGTCTGACTTTTATGTGGTAAGATAAGAAAAATATAAAGTAGAAAGAAGAAACGCTCATTCATGAGTAAATATTGCACGCTTATTAGTAAAGAAAAAAAAACCGATGTAATCGATTGTAGCCTGGTATAATAAAAATAAAAATGTCTCGTTCAATCTAGACTTGTTTTTATACTGAAAACATTATTATTTATATCTTTTGTATTTATTTATTTTTTTTTTTTTTTTTGGGAAGAAAACGAACAGTAAGTTAAACTAAGCTGTTTTATTTTTGTAAAACAGTGTTATCTATTTCAACAATAGATTATCCTTTCAAAGTATTATTGAAATATCTTGTTTTTGTTTTTTGCAATGACATTTTGAGAAATTAAAAAACAAGATTTTATTTGTCGGAAATTAAAATAACTCGATTTATTTATTTTTTTTTTTTTGTCCATTAATTATAAATGATACACCAGTATTAAATCGGTTTTGTGGTTAGTATAAAAAAAAAAGGAACATTCTCTTATTCTTTGTTTCTTTCTTTAAATGTATTAAATTTCACTTTTCTATACATACAAATGATTACAAACGACAGACAGATTGCAATGAAGAATTTTTAGTATTGATGTTGTTCAAATAGTGGTTTGTATATGTGCTTCAAGTCAGTTATTTCGATTATTTTTCTTTTGCATTTAAGTATGAATGAGGGGATCGAACAAATTCTTTGAAGTCTTTATTCATAGAATAAAAGAAAAAAGAAATGAAATCATAAAGAGAAAATAATCTTTTGTATATTATAATAATGATTCAATCTTTTTTTATTTCTCAATATACTTTTAGATGTTGTCATAGGTATTTATTCAAGTGGGAAGACAATTCTCACATTGATTAACTAAAAATGCAAACACCATTGAATACGCTCGACACAAAAGAACCACTTGATTATGATAATTTAAATATAATTACACGTCCACGACCACCACGTCGTCGTCAAACTGGTGTTTCATTAATACCATTTCGTCCATATGTTAAATGTTTAACAAGTGTACGACAACCATTTTCATTTGCAAATGGTTATGATAGATGGATGGTTATCGGTAGAGATGAAATATTTTTTACACAACCAAATGCAAGATGTATTGGTTCATTAATTGAAGATTGTGATATATCAGATGTTATTCGATGGGACATTGAAGGAGAATCAACACGTTTACCAATGATGTGTAAATTATGGATGATTGGTAAATACGAAATTTTCTTTGTAAGAATGTAAAAAATATTACGTTTTTTCTATAGTTGATGGAGCTGTTGTTGAAAGAGGAAGACCACATTTAGTTCAAGATGCAGCTATACAAGTATTTACATCAGGTCGTAATCTTCGTTCGATACTAGCAACACAGCGACATTATAATCAAACATCACTAACAACAACAGTTGATCGACGTCGTCGTCAATCTTGGCAAGATGTTAATGAATATCATAGTGTATCTTATTATCAATATACTTGTGCTGTTCGACGAGGATTTCATAAAAATATTCAATGTAATATAGATAATGAACATTTAATAAGTAAACAAGAAATTCTTTCCGATGTTGAAGAAGAAATAGTTGATGAAAATCAAATGAAAAGTTTTAGAAAAGAAAAAGTTCAAGAAACAATACATCATTCATTAATACCACAAGATCGTGTTCATATATCGATTATGACACAAACAGAGTAAGAAGAACATTTTTGTTTTTGAAAAATTTATTTGAAAATAATTTTTTTTCGTATTATAGAAATCGATTTCTTAATCGATCAACATCAATTGATTCTCAATTTATTTATATGTTTAATCTTAATTTAGAAACAAATGAATTACTTTTATCATCAATTGCTAATCCATATCGTCGTGTTATATCATCGAATTATTCTTCCGATGTAATATCAATCTATCGTAATGGTATTGAATATAAACATCGATCAGTATCAACTGGTGATGATTATCCACATTGGTGGCTTCGACTTAATACTGATTTTATTTTATCAGATTTTATTAAAATTCCATATGAGGAGAAGGAGAAGAAGTTTTTACCTTCTCCTTCTCCTCGACACAATCAAAGTGTACAAACAGATATTGATGAATCAAGAATATCATCATCATCGAGATCAATACGTATTCAAAAAACTTCATCTTCAGCAACAACAACTAATCATTATGAATCAATCGATGATATTAATAGACAAAGAGTATGATAATATAATTTTTTTTTTTTGTTGTTTATTATCTGGTTTCTTCTATAGATTGATTCTCATAATGATATAAATTGTCGTTTAAATGATTATAAAACATGTACTCATAATAATAAACAATCTGATAATGATTATAATATATTTGTTTCATCACTTAATCATCATGGACAACAATCATATTCAACACCCGATTATCAGAGTCATCGAGTACCATGTCATTGTTTTTCCAATAATACAACACGAACACAAACCAAAACTTCTGACAGTACATCAACAACATTATTAGCAAATTTACTTGAACGTTATGAAAAAACATTACGTGAACGACAACGAGCTATTGCTATTATTAATGATGAATTATTAGATATTGATGATGTATTAAAACATTATAGAGAAAAAATACAAAATTCATCATCAAAACAATCAAATATAGTACGTAAATTTTCTCACAATTTAGTTAGATGTTATATATTGAAAAAGAAAGAAGAATAAAAAGAGAGAAAAAAAAAAAAAAAAGAAAGAAGCACTTCACTTTCTTGACCTTGTCATGGCTTTACATTTCAATTCATTCATTTTATACGAGAATCAATTTCTTCTTCTTCTTCTTTCAGTGTCTGTGTCTTTGAATTTTTTTTTTGAACACTCATCTATTTTTTAAATATATTTAATCAGGCTATGGAACTTTATCGTGATATTTCATTATTGTCCAAAGATGATCGACCACCATCAACAACAACTATCAATATAATAAAAGATAAATATCGATCAATGCCTGGATTAACAAGTGAAGAAATGATTAAAGCATATATGCCATCACCTAAAGTTCATATAACAAAATGTTTATTAGATTCATCAAGACAACGTCAACCTCGTTTTCTAACTCCATCAACAGTAATAACACGACCTAATTATTGTGATTTATGTTTAACTGGTCATCATAGAAGTTCAGCATGGATTCAATATAATGAACGAAGAATTGAAGAATTACAAAAAAGAATTGATTTAATGTTACAAATTGATGATATTGAAGAAGCTCAATTATTATTATCATCAACACCAATTATTCCAACAACTGCTACAGTTACACAACGTATTGATGATATTCTTTCAAGAAGATCAAAATATCGTGATTTACATCTCTATGATTATTATCGTTTTTGTAAGTTTTTAACTTCATTTTTTCTATAACTGATTATAATAATAGATGAGAAATATCTATTGATCTTTTAAAAAAGAAAAAAAACCAAGGTTTACTTTCTAAAACTAAAAATTTAGTTTATTTTGAAAAATAATATGTATTTCTCTATAACAAGACAAATACTTATTGCTTTTTGTTATCTTTTTGTAATTTTATAGTGTGAATATGTTTGTAGAATAAAAAGAATGACTCTCAATATGAATTGTGACTTTTTTTGCTTTTCTTTTAGTATCACCTTGTCGATATCAATATCGTTTACATCATCGATTGAATCAATCATTACCAAATATACCTCGTCTATTAAATCGAGGTACCACACATTCAACAACACCAGTATCAAAGTCGGTCCGAATATGTACTGAATCCGTTTCACCACGTACAATTCATCGTCGATCGAGATCTGCTTCTCGACCACTTGTATCAATCCTACGTCATAGTAGTGTACCAGCGATGTCTCGACCGACTAGATTAATTGAATCATCACATATTTATAAAAGTAAAGTTGATGGAAAAATTTATGATCTTAAAGAATTTACTATTCCACGATATTATCGATTGTACAATGATGTTAGTTTTCGAGAAATATATAATTTCTCACGTTTACTTGATGCATATTTACAAACAAATCGAATAATTACAGAAGATTATTCAAAGATGATTAAAAACTTTGCATTAAAACAACAATTACCATCTCCTATAACAAGTGTCGCATAAACATTTTAAAAAAAAACAGATTCTTATTTTTTTTTTTTTTTTTGAGATGAACTCATTTATATATTATTTTCTTTCAAACAAGACGGATATATTTAATTAGAAATTAAAATATATTTATATATATTTTAATCGATTCTGAAAATCGTTTTTTATGTTATGTAAAGTCGTTTTGCTTTTCTTTTCTTTGCATTTATATTAAAAACTAGAAGAAAAAAAAAACAAGCATTTTTTTATCATCTCCTATTCAATTTAATTTCAAAAACAACTTCAAACTAACAATTTTTTCTTAATTGTATCACAGTATGTAGTCATGATGAAATAGATTGGATGTTTAATGAAAATACGAAAAAACTCCAATAGCTTTGATTTGTGACACTCACTAGAAACATTAGACCACAAGAATACTATAATGGCCTTCATGATTAAATAGATTGAAAGGTCAAATTTAATTACAGATGTTTGTTTACTTGTGTTAAGATATACTCTTATCAAATGATGATAGAGTTCTGAGCTAAGATTCTTCAAGAATTTTTTTTAATATTCTATAGAAGCCTTTCATATTAATCGATAAATCAAAGGTAAACAGAAGAAAATAGAAATGTCTCGTCTGAACTGTTTAACAAAATTTCAAGTTCAAAGTGTTATGATAGCTGCAGGAAAGAGATCACTTATTGAATATGATCATATTCAGTTTATTTTAGAATAGAAAAAAAAAAAAGGTGAATCTAATCAGTCTATAGCTACAGGAACAATGATGTAGCTTTTTTTTTGGCTGCTGTTATTGTCTGAACATCATAGTTAAAATATAATATTTCAATGTAAAAAATAACAAAATTCGATTTCATTCTTTTTGACAATGCGAGAAACCACAAAAGAAAAAAAAAAGAATAATATAAAGTATCGAGTATAACTGAATACTTGTATGAGATCTTAGAGATTAATAAGTAAATAAAATTCAAACTTAACGAACCAAATTGATGAAGAAAGAAAATAAATTTTTCACTAATACAAAGAAAAAAAAAAACTTTTTTTTTTATTTCAGCGTATTTTATCATTAATCTAATTCAAATTGAATTTCTATCATCAAATTATTTTCATTATTAGTTTTAACTAATTTATTAAGTTTAATTTTTATTTGTCTATCATTCAATGTTGTCATGAAGTCAATATATTTATTATAATCAATTATAGAATTACGATTTAAAATCAAATTTCGAAAATATTCTATTTTATTTGTTTTTTAAAGATAAAAATTATATCAACTTTTCTTTGTTCAATTAAACAACAATTATTATAAAATATATTATAGTTACCAAAACTAATGTATCTTATTTTTACAGTCAAACCAAAATATCTTGATATAGTATTTCATTTTCTACGATATAGAATGTCAATACATAGCATGTTATAGATAAGTACCGAAAGCAGTGAGTTCCTTACAGGTAGACATAAGTAAATTTGTGTCTGAAATATTTTCTTTTATAAAATTACTCAACAAAAAAACTTTCGATTTTTTTTATTGCATTTTTCAATGTCAAAAAAACAAATTTTTAAGCAAAACAATAGTTGTTCTGTAGATGATTTGCTTTCATGCCTTGTATAATAACCATTTTTCATTCTGAAAAGTCGAATTGAGCAGACCTATTTTACATGCTTACTTAGATATATTCCTATTTTAAGTTAACAGATACTATCTAGAAATATACTGATATTTTCATAGTCAATGTAATACGCAAGTTTTCAGGTTTTCTTTCTCTTTCTACTCTCTACTTTCAAATTTACGTTGCCTTAATTGAAAAATAACTTATTCTTAGTAATTAACGTTTTCTTGACTATAAAGAAACCATTTGCGAGATTCATATGTCGAGAATTTTTAAGAGAATGTTGTATTTGAGGAATGACGGTGACTAGAGAACCTATATTTTTCCGCGAAGGTCGCAATTTACAGATGAAATCATCAATATTTAATTTTCTAGTTTAGTCTGTGATTTTCACTTCAAAAGACGTTTATGTCGTACTAAAATATTAATAAAGTTCATTAAATAAAAAGTCAACATCAGTTTAACGAAGTTAAGTTCTATATCATAGAAGAATGTTTTGTCAATGATCATATGTTGTTCAAATTTGCTGAATATCGATAATTGTATAGTTCGTTATCATTTTATGAATTATCATTGATACTCTTAAATATTTTTTTTTTCAATGGATTAGTTGTACTTTTAGAAAATATGTCACTGTCGTAATATATTGCATTTTTTTTAACTATTCTTATTCATAGTCTATGATGTTTTATTTCAAAGAGAATGCTCACTAACATTAACGTGTACAACAATATTCTTAAGATCTATTAAAAATACATAAGATTACGCTTGTCTATTTTACGTTTGGTCTATAGTCATTGAAAGAAACCTATCACGTATCTAATAAATGTATCATCAATATCTTGACATCTAATCTTATCGTATAATACAAAAAAAATACCGTTTTTCTTAAATTATCTTCATGTATATAATTTATAACTGTCACCAAGATTTAATACAATTCACACTCAGAATTTTACATTTAGGTTTATAATTACAACAAATGAAAACTTTGACTTTTTATTGTTCTGTAATACAAAACAAAGCTTTCAACAGACACTAGCATATTTAAAGAGCGTTATTACCATTTTGCAAACCATACAGTTCTATTTCAATTTGTAATTTGTGACAGAAAATTATTCAAATATATCAAAAAAAAAATCTGTTTCATTTCAAAACCAAGTAAAATATAGATACATATATATTGTTTATTCTTGCCACATATTTTATGTGAACGAAGGCGAAAAAGAACATGTAAAATAAGACAAACAAGTGTTTATGATGGAGATGTATAGTTATAATGGAACCTTAATTTGGTTTCTTTACTAAAATTATCATATGTCGTCTTCACATCAAATAAAATATCATATATAAATATCTCATATTGTGATACAGATGCATTGACATAACTGATCGAGATTAGGTTTAAATATCTAAATAAATGTCTCAACAGTGAAAACCAAGTAAACTTTGTTTACAGTTGTTTAAAAATAGTTTGTAAAATTAAAACTTATTCGATTTATGATAGAAGATGAAAACGGATTTGATGAACAATCTTCAACTAGATAATACATTTACATTAACTTTCAAGAACATTATTCAAAAGTCTTATCTCAAAAAGTCCTTTTTTTTTGTTTTGAATAAGAATTTTATTATCCATATTCGATAATATTATTTTTATCAACAAAAGAAAATTTCGGTATTTCCGTTCCATAGAAAATTTCTAGCAATGAGTAGTGGGTCCAACCGTTTTAGTTCTGATTTCACATTCAGTAACTTAAATGTAATATAACATTTTATCATTGGAAATGAGCTTGAAGCATCTTGTACGACCCCCCATTATTTCAAACTCTGTTGCTTAGGAAAGAAAAGGATTTTTATATTATCATAAATATAACAGCAATTAGTAAAATGATCATTAGTCAATAATTTTCATATAAACTTAGAGTTCTTTGTCCTGATCTTGTTGAATCCGAGATCATCTTGTTCATATCTCTATTATTCTTTTACTACGGTATCCATTAACTTCTTCTTATCTACAATAACTGAATAACATCTATGAATACTTTCCAGTTCATGAATAATCATATTACTTACAAAGTTACCAAATTTTTACCTCCTTTCCTATTCATAATATAAGAAATAAACTTTTTTCTGTCTTGTTAAAAATGAATGCTATAAATCAAGAAATCTATTTTTCTTCTAATAGAAACTCTTATTATTCTAATCACTAAAATTAAATATTCAAAGTAATAATTTATTTGTATATGAATATGATCATAAAATACGAATCTTTTTAATCTTTTTTCTTTAATGGAAGATCGAATTCAATTTTAATTTCATTACTTTCTTTATAAAAAGAAAAAGAAAATACCTTTCATATAGATAAAGAATTAAAGAAATTCTAAGATGACTATTCGATTAATTTATTAACTTTAAATATTATTTCTCATTTATAATCTTTGAATTGATTCTTTGTTATATTTGATATGAGAAAAACGATCTATTCTTGATATTATTTTGATAAAAGATGTAGTCTCTCTCATCATTTTTCAAGTTGATATTGACATAGGTGCTTTTTCTTGAAGTCACTTTTCTCTATTGAATGAATTTGATTGACCACTTGTCAATTCCATTTAGTGTCTCAACAAGATTCAAACTCGAAATTGATCTTACTTTTCAAAATTTTTTATGTATTTATATATATATGACACTTTCTTTTATATCCTTAAGCAATAGTAATTAACAATAACATCTATCGGGTATAATCAAAGAGAAATGCATTACATTTATGAGACTGACGATTGTATGAATATGAAAAGAAAAGAGAGTCGACAAGAGGAGGAGCATGGATGGGAGGTCAATTAGGAAAGAATAACATTGACACATAGGAGGTCTTACTGATTAGCCTTTTGATCATATATTTTTTTTAGGAACATAAAAAAAAACGAGCAGGTGGCGTCAGTAAAATTGACTGTGCAGCAGGTGAATAAGCGTGTCGTTGATCTATCTATATATCTTCAATCTAATGGCTAAAATGAGAGTCGATTAATCGAACATGCTGTGACACACCAATCACAGTGATGAAGATCCTCCTCCTTTAAAAGCATCGTTAACTCATATAGAGATAGACGAACGACAACTGTGTTTTACTCTTCTTTTTTTTTTATTGTCAATGCATATAGAACAGGCGAGAGTCAATAATCGATATATTATTATCATCATTGACTTTGATTGTGTCATCTAATATGAGAAGTCAACCTTTTTTCTATTGTTTCATTAATCAAAATATGATACTAGCAGAGAACAAAAAAAAGAACTTCAGTCATTGGTGAAAATTTCCCATTGGATTGTATCGGATTACAACATAGTGTCTAATCGATTAGTGAATTAAGTTCAATGACTCGTTCGTTTTTATTT